CAAAATGTCGTATTCTCTCTTCATGGCCTCATAAAACTCTAAGGCCTCGAAGGCATCCTTGCGAGCTTTAACACAATCACCATTTTTTAGCCTAAGCTCCTCCTTGGTCTTCTTGCCATCATCCTTAGCTTTCCCTTTTTCAGCCTCCAAATCCTTATTAGCGGAAGACAACCTCTCCACTTGTGCTTGTAACTCCTGCACATGAGCCTTAAGGTCATCGTTAGAGAAAACCAACTTAGCAATCTTGAGTTCAGAAGCCTTCAACGCCTGAGCTGAACTCTCCAAAGCCCTGATCCTACTCGTCAAAGCGCTCACATGAATGGCCAGCCAAAGGAAAATACAACTAAGGTTAGAACCAGCACGAAGCAGCAACACAGGATGAAAGTTGGAGAAATAAAAGCTTACCAAAGTGGCCCCATACAAGGTAGTAGTAACACAAGAAGAAAGGGACATAACGACAACCTTTTGGATGTTGAACTCTGGGATTATAGAGGCAATAGCCTTAGCAGCAAGCCTCGTATTATCAATAAGTGAAACCTTGCCTTTGTCGATGTTCACACCCTCCACCAGCAAGCAATGAATCTTCTCGATGGGGCTGGAAGGAAGAGGTTTGTGTAGAATGTGGGCAATTAACTCTAAAGCCCCCTCGACCTCTGCTGAAGAAGGAGATGTTGATGCCCCAGCTTGCTCAAGAACTCCTCTTGAATAGGAAGGCAAGGTCTCTTGGAGGACTGAGGTTTGTGCGACCTCTGATGAGCTTGGTGTAGGAGTAGAAACCCCTTGGGAAGGGGGGGAAGAAGTAGGGGCACCTCTGTTCTCTGCACCTTGGTGAGAGAAGCCGAGTCGCTTCCTGATCCGACCTCTAACTTGCGTTTTTTTCCATTCTTGCCTTTTTTTAGCAGGTTAACCCTCGCTCTCAAAGCTTCTGAACCTAGACCCATTGAGTTAGAACCTAGAAATCTAAAGCAAACAGATCAAAAATAAGGAAAAAGTAAAATAGAAATTAAGGATAGAAGAAGGGAAGTGTTACTTGCCACTTCTTCTACACCAACAACAGAAATAGGAATGAGTCTCTACAGTCACCTCGGGAGGGCTAAACCCTAACTTGGTATGCACAGAATGCTTGATCAGGCTAGAATACTTCTCTGAGCCCTATCAAAACAATCCTGTCCTTGGTTCCTAGCTCAGGGCGGATACCTGAAGCAACTCAAGGGAATGAGGTCAGCGAATGAAACAATAAGATGAGGCAAGTTCAGCTTGCCCAAAATACGGACTCACCTAGGTTATCAGGACCTAACCAAGAGCGTGGGACAGGAAGAGTATCATTGGCATCACTCAGATTGAACTCCCACTCCTCTAACACTAAGAATAATTGTTTCTTCTAGTTCTTATGAGTGTTGGGCAAGTCTAGTAATCAATGTTGGGATCTTCACCCACTTGGAAATATACAAAAAGCCATCAGGATAGAACTTGACGTTGAAAAATTTCGTGAGCAAGGGAACTAAAGGGGTACCAATTTTATTTTTCTTAAAGAAGACGAGGAGGCCCACCAGGACACCCCAAAAATTGGGAGAGATTTGAGTAGGACAGACATTGAAATGTAGAAGAACAGATTTGATGAAGGGATGTATAGGGAACCTAAGCCCATTCTCAAGAGAAACTACGAAAACACAGGTCTTCTCAAGGACCTCAGAGTCATACCTAATATCCACAAAAGGGATCCAGTAACGCATGCCTTTAGGAAAACCAAACCTTGCAAACAAAACACTCATGAGAGAAGGCGTAACCTCACTAGGACCAATGAGGTCTGAAGTGCAAAGAGCGGGCTCGGAGACCTCAATGCTACATGAACCCTTTTTGGCCTTTCCTTTTCGAAATCGCTTGGAACTCGAAGGAGACTCTGGTAAAATCTGAGGTACCTCTGCCCCCTCTACGGCTTCAACCCTGGGAAAGTTGTCAATTTCGTCACCAACATCCCCCAGCTCATCCTCCTCTATATCTAGAGACCTATTGCCCATAAGGGAAACAGAGGAGGCTGTAGCTTCGGAAAAGGCAGACATAATTAGGCAGGAGAAATGAAGTCTAAAAGAACTATAAAGAGGGAGAAATCCTTAAGAGCCCAAGGGTCAAGACACCAACGACCAAAGAGAAAACTCTGGCAGTAGAATAAGGATCCAAGAAGAGAGGAAGAAAGAACAAGGTAAGACCTCGATTTCTAAAGTAACAAAAGCGAAAAGTCCAGAAATTAAATAACTACCTTAAATTTGAGGGATCCAGAACAAAAGAAAAGAAGAAGAAACAAAGCAAATGACGTACCTAGTTGAGAACGATCGATAAACCAAGAACCAAGGGAAAATCTGAACGGATTAGGTCAACTACACAAAGCCTTCGAAGAAATGGAGGATTTTTCTGAAAACCCTAGATCCTCGAAAAAATTAGAAAGACAAAGTCACAGAGAGAAAAGCATAGGCAGGAAACAGAATGTGAAAAGGGTCTGAAGAAGCAAAAGACGATTTTTATCTGCAATTGCATTTAAAGACAGAAGAATGTGGATCCTCGAAATAAGGGACGTGCACAAGAAATGAGGGAAGCATGATTACACGACCGTCACAACCGTTAGAAGGAAGTCCCATCATGCAAAAATTGAGGTCGACCCAGGCAACCTTACTCTTGGCATAATCCCTACCCAAATCGACTTGTTTGACTAGGGGCTAGGAGGTAACTGATGATACCACCAAAATATCTAAGAATGAGCTCAGCTCCCCAGGTCATCAAATCGGGAGCTCAACTGATCAGTATCACTTGTGGACCTCAACCTCAGACCTCAATTCCCTGTATCCATACCTCACGGAAGTTTGTTCAAAGGACAGTTGGATCCCACCAAGTCCCCCATCTTTCTGGCGTCAATCACCCAACTAGCGCAAGTCTCATTGCGCAATAAGGGAGAACTGTTACAGCTAAGGGGCGAGTATCTCGCCCCATATCAAGCAAACCCTAGGAATATCTATAAATAAGAGGCAAAGCCCTCAAGAAAGGATTTAGTCATTGTAGCCTTGCAAAGTCTTCTCTGTAAACCACACGCAATTGAGTAATATATATTCAGGAGTAAGGGATTCTCTTGATAGTGGATTAACCGAGCTCTCGAGTTGGTGAACCACTATAAATATTCTGTATAACCCCTCCCCCCCCCCCCCCCCCAAATTATTCAAAAAATCCTATTCTCAAGAGTCTTGGAGCTCAGATTAAACCAAATCCCACCATTCAGTGCACTTTAAATCCACAACATTTTTCAATTGTGTGAAGAACATCATCATATCTCATGCCACATGTTTCTATTAAATAGTCCAATTATACATAGATATTTTGAGTCACTACAAACTTTACTGATAATTTATCTGGCTATAGTAAATTATATCGTCTACCATCATTTTATTAAGTCCTAATAGTATTATGAAATAATAATTTGACCTAAAAAAAAATCTAATATAAAGCCACATCCTCTCCCTATTTTATTGTCCAACATGAAAGAGAGTTAATCAAGTTGAATTTGTTAAGAGTTTGAGTATGTTTAAGTTCGGTTCAATTATGATTGATTGAGTATGGGTTTTGACTTGAGTTCAAGTTTAGATTCAAGTTTAGTTTGTCACGAGTTTACAAGCATTTGAGTTGACTCGATTTGGGGTTGAGCTCAATTTCTCAACCAAAATTTTAAGAAATTTAACCCTATAACTATCCAAAGAGAATGAAATTTTCAACAAAACTCAAAAGACATATAATCAACTATAAAATAAAACCTTCGAAGTTTATATTTTTCAAAGATCTATTAAAAAGGAGAATAACAAAGAATTGTCTATGATTTGACACTATTTGACGATATATTCGAAATAGAAGTTTTGTAGTAATACTTTTAGAGTTATTTATGTACAGAATTTTTTTAGTCGAGTATATTTTAGTTAACTCATATGTTCAAGTTCGATTTAACTAAATAATAAACTTAAAATTTTGATCCATTCCACTTCTTGTTAAAAATCATAAACGAATCAAAATCAAACCGAATTCGAGCAACTTTGTCCCTACAATATGCAATGAACTGTGTTTCCTTGAAATAACATAAGTTGGAGATAATAGCCGTTGTATTGTCCACAAGTGGTCTTATCAGTGGGCCTGACCTCCTTTTCAAATTCAAACTAACAACCAAATTGACTAATGAAATAAAGAAAATAGGTTCGATCAAAGAACCATAATGTTAGATTTTTTCAATTCAATGATGAGAAGTGTTGGGTCGGTTTACTCTAATCCCTTTTTTAATTTGGTTAAAGATAAATCATTTACACCAGGACTAGAGTATTTATAAGAATAAATCTATCATAACTTATCCTAAAAAATTATCAAAATTTAAATTTAATGACATCTAAATTATTATCACTTGAATTATCCTTAAAATTAACCCTAATGTTAGTTACCTCATGTCTCATGGACCTTGATTTAGGGATCTCTATTGCCGCTTCTCTTCAATTCCTTTTGATAATAGATTTGTGACATACATAAAATTTTGAATTTTAATGAAAAAAAAATTTCTTGTAAAAAATTTTTTAATAATAATTGGCACTCCACCATTAAAATTTAAAATTTTATACACATCCCTCGTGAACCGTCGCCACTACCATTGAGAAAAATTGAAATGAAGAGTTAATGCAGGGATTTAAATCCTTGATTTAGGACCAGACACGGAATGATAGTGAGAAACAACATTAACATAAACTGCCGTTCAATTCAGAGGGTTTTTTCCTGCAGACTTGGGCTCTCTGGTATCTAAGATGGACACATGGGTCCGGATTTCAAATTCAAAATGAGTTCAAGAAGAGCAAAGTTCTCAGGGATTTCAAGGCACAAGAACTGGCAAGGAATATACGAGAGTATCAACTAAGACGGAAAGGAGAGAGAGGATACTCAAAGTAGTGATTCTGTGGGATTTTCTTCTCTCTCTGGACTACCAAGACATGGGTGAATCATCTCCTTGTCTAGTGCGGTCAGTCTCTCAGCTTTCTCCCACTTCTGATGAATTCAAAGAGGTTAGTTCAAGAACACTTGTTGTAAATTTCTCATCTTTATTTACCAATCTTGATATGGGTTCTTCAGTTTTCAAACAACCCTTGACGCTTTTTGATTTATCTGCATTGTTTCGCCTCTTTACCGGTATTCCGGAAGAGGGTTTTATTATCCCAAAGAAACAGACATGGGTTTCCTTTGATATCTTGTGTTTTTTGAACTTCTGAATACGGTATTTACATTGCAACTTCTGATTTTCCTCTTGCATAGAAATACATAGCCCTCATTGATTGATTTCTCTTGACACTGCATTCAAGTAACATAACTGAGGATTTCTCGTACTGGGTCTCTGTCAATTCACTCATATGGATTACACAATCGTTAGGCTTTCATCTTCCATTTCTACTTTAGGGTTGTTTTTAGATATGAATTTGTGAAATAGACAGTGTTAGAAATTTGGAAACGACTGCAATTCTATTAAAGTAGGTCCTTGGATGTATATGTATTAGTTTAGTAATTTGAAGATTTTGCCAAGATAACAGTAAAAGATTTGTGCTACAGGGAGATCCACTGCGTGCCCTCACAACATCAATCTCATTTGGGAGGTTCGTGTCACAATCGTTGGCTTGGGAAAAATGGTCATCCTTCACTCACAACCAGTACCTGGAAGAAGTTGAGAAATACTCCAAGCCTGGTTCTGTTGCTGAGAAAAAAGCTTATTTCGAAGCCCATTACAGGAGAAAAGCAGCCAAGAAAGCTTCAGTGTTGCTCGAGCAAGGAAATGTAGCTGCAAATGATTCATCTGAACCAAATTTGACGAATGAGATATGTGATAATTCTTCCATGAATCCAGAGTTGGTGCAAGCAGACAGCCATGTGCGCATTGAGGAAACAGAAGGAGAAAATGCTCATAATGTAAAGCTTGTATTATCTGTTGAAGCAATTGGGTGTAATGCTGAGGGAAACAATATAGAAACCGCTAAAGCAGAAGGTGCAGAATCTGTAACTGAACAATTGTGCACTGTGGCGAATACTGTTCAGGTTGAACTTTCCAACCAGATTGAGAGTGTTGAAAACCACAGTACTATAGTGTCCATGCAAGAAAACAACACACATGTCAAGGTATATGTGTTGATATATTTCTCTGTTTTCTTGTATCCACTTGATCGCATCTTTTGCATTACTTTCTCACCTAATGTTGATTTTGCAGGATGCTGCTAATCAGGGGACTCTAGAAATGTTGAGAGAGAAGAAACCTGAAATTTCTTCCTTCAAATCATCCACTTGCAGTGGAGCAACCAAGCTTCGACCTCCTGCCAAACCGACTACTCTCGATAATCTCAGGAAGGCAGACAATGCCACTCCAAATAATAGGAAGACAGCAAGAGTATCATTGGACAAAAAGAGTTCAACTCCAAAATCTCTTCACACGACAATCAATTTTGCTTCTTGTGCTAGTGAAAACCAACAAAACATCTTCTCCTATTCCTCACAAGAGTGGAAATTCAAGGATCATTAAAGGTTTCATAAAGACATCCAAAGACAGCTCAACTCAACAAACTCTAACCTGAGTGCTTACTTCCCCCTCCTTGCCATCATCTTACCCGCAAACTCTCGATAATTCCAGGAAGACAGACAATGCCACTCCAAATAATAGGAAGACGGCAAGAGTCTCAATGGACAAAAAGAGTTTTACTCCAAAATCACTTCAAAAGTCGATCAATTTTGCTTCTCGTGCTAGTGAAAGCAGTAAAACATCTTCTCCTATTCCTCACAATGTTGGAAATTCAAGGATCATTAAAGCTTTCATAAAGACATCCAAATATGGCTCGACTCAACAAACTCCAACCAGGGTGCTTACTTCCCCCTCCTTGCCATCAACTTACCCGCAAACTTTCGTTGATCCCAGGAAGACAGACAATGCAACTCCAAATAATATGATGACCGCAAAAGTCTCAATGGAAAAAAAGAGTTCAACTCCAAAATCACTTCACATGTCAATCAATTTTGCTTCTCGTGCTAATGAAACCAATAAAACATCTTCTCCTCTTATCCACAATATTGGAAATTCAAGGATCGTTAAAGCTTTTGATAAGACATCCAAAGACAGCTCAACTCAACAAACTCCAACCAGGGTGCTTACTTCCCACCCTCCTTGCCATCAACTTACCAGCATTATCACACCCATGCACACAACCAAATTGGGGTTTGTTTGAACTATCTTTAGCTCACGCATGAGATGAATTTCTTTTCTAAAATGCAGGCATCTGTGAATGGGGTATCAAAGCATCCTTCAGTAACCCATCTAGCAGAATGTAGAAGGTAATTTATCTCTGTAATAGTCCTGAAGAATATATAAATCTGACACACTCACAAGAATGCTTTACACTGGTGTGACATTGTGTACATTCAACTCCTCTCAAAAAAATGTTTAATTTTATGATTTGTAGGTCTAAAGCTCTTCTTGATCAATTTCTGGAAACAGAATGCTGGGTGGGAAATCACATACCTTACCTATGAAGTAAGATCTTTTGCTGTCTTGATTGCTATAAATAGTTTGAATTTATTTAGACTGTGAATTGTAAAGTTTTAATAGAGGACTATATAGCTCTCAATTGTGTTTAGAGGTAATTAGGATGTCATATGTCATGCGGGCGAGCATCAAGAAGTGTTGTAAGTTTTTTTGTTTTAGAAAGATAAAATGTATTTTATTGATAGAATCATATCCCTTTCAAATGAAGTGGCTCCCTTTACTGTCCCAAAGACTGCCTTATCTATTGTAGATTTTATATGCATGATTAATTTCATATTTCATACTCTTTAATTTTGTGAGGCCAACTTTGCAACCATAGTATCATTGATTCATCGAAATGAAACAAAGAATTCCTAATTTCTCCTCAAAACTGTATGGGCAGCCATTCAGAAACTTTGACTGCATGTGGGCGGAAAGCACGATCTCCTACTGTAACCTCCTCTTTTAGCTTTAGAAATGAGGAAAGAGTACCCAAACGTAAAGAGGCAAGTCCAGATCCTATAAACTTGATACTTACAGTCGTATTACTTATTATATATTTACATTGACCATCCCCTTCGCTGGCTTATGTGCTTGTTCAGTTTCTTCAGAAGCTAGAGGAGAAACTGAATGCTAAGGAGGCAGAAAAACTTCAGCTGCAAGCAAAAACTAAGGTTTTTTCATTACCTCTAATGTTGGATGATTAAGGAAAAGAGTACCACATGCTAACAGATGCAATGTGAACAAGAAAAATGGTCACTAAGTTCTATGTTCTACATGGATCAAATGACTAAAAACCACGAATTGCTTGAGTTGATATGAAGTTGGGTCGCTCATATGTTTCTTCAAACACGCAACAATTGCAGCATTATTGTTTTATTTGGTCAGAATAAAGTATCAATAGTTTACCATGTTCTCTTTTTTATGCAGGGAAAAAATGGCCTTAAGAAAATGCAGCAGAATGTTGGCCTCAAATCTGAATTGACTGCAAATTTTCAACATAAAATGGAATTGCCAAATAATCACATGATGGTATTTAAATCAGATCTCAATGCCACAATGAACATATTCAAAATTGGAAATGTTTCTATCTCTCTGTTTTCTCTGTTTTGCTAGTAAACACCTTGTCTTTCTACTAATGATGGTGGGTGCAGTTGACTCGTGAAATCTTAAGTTGTGTAATATCATTGTGTTTTCCTCCCAGTTGTCAATCCACTTTATGATATTTTGCAGATCCCACCAACACGTCCTTCCTCATGAAAACTCAGTAGGAGGCCAACTCGCAGCACAATCCAGGATTCTAGTTCTAGACCTCCTTGGAGGTCTTCAGGGAAGGCTGATAGCTCCGAGCATGGTGCAGAAAAGACTAACCAGATCCCAACTCATTTTGTCAAATCACAATTTAGAAATAGTATGCGTGAGAATGCTTCCCCAAATATTCAGCTTTGATTATGAAGTAGACAACTAGATATGGTGCATTCCAAGTATATGCAGGCAGAAATTGTTGGAGAATCAATTGCTTGTAGTGCGGACTATTTGAAGCTGGCTTTGACAGTAGATATCATGGATATGGAAATAAATTGAGTTAGCAATGTGATGTACTTTGGGAAAATGTTTATAGGAAGTTTTGAATTTGAGCTGTTGGCTGCCATTCAACATAAAGTAGAGCAATGATTTCAATTGTTTCTTCTATGTCCTTGTTCTGGATATATGTAAACAGTTTTTTCTCCTTCAGAGAATGGTTAAGAAGAAGCCCGTAACTTTGTTTGGTGCAAGTAAAGTGGATTATGTTATGAGCTTCAGCTATGCCCCCATGTAATTGACAAGAAGAAAAGAGGATTTCTGGCAGTGCTGAATCTGGGAAGGGTTTGGGTCTATTAATAGTTTCTTCAAAAATCTATGCAAAACTGCAGATTGGAAACTAGCAATTTCTTTGCAATACCACCAGTAAGTTATGGGATATTTCAAGATCTTTGTAAGGCTACCAGCTGCTCACTGTCACATGTTTATTCTCTCAGAATAAGGACACAACATGAGACATGAATTCTGGGACTATACTTTGCAACTAGAATTTGTATTTACAAGATTTGTAGGATCAAAATGGGAGCCCAAACTCCAATACTAGTACAAATCTACACAGACATGCAACTCACCATAAGCATCACTCACCGGTAGAAGCTTGTTTATTGTGCTCAATATTTGATATCACTCCTACGGCAAATATTTACGACATATTTATCCAAATTTGAGTTGGAAGAAGATATTCCACTCCATGTTGAAATAGTTTACTTGACATATCATTTGACTGGAACAACAATATCGAGATACCATTGTTCTTTACTTGTCCAATGAGCAACTCCTTCCAGTTAAACTGGTCATGCTATGAATAACCCTTGATCTATTATTACAGGATATTCCAGCGAGTCACAGGGATTCTCGTAGTCAAACTTCAGTGCATCATACAAGTAGGGAGAAACTTCAGCAATGTTCTGGAATCCAAGATTTATAGAACAACAATCACCTTGAAAGCAAGAAGCGGTTAAGTCCTCATCGATACATGCAAATGCTGCCCCTATTTCCTGAATTAGGTTTCCCTTGTTAGATTCCAGATCAGTTACTGAAATCCGATCAATGCCCTGATTCTTCATGCTAAATGTAGCACTGGCAGGTGGACTAGATGTGTGAAAGTTTGTCATACAGCTCTCAGACTGAGCTGAAAGCAAGTCAAATGCATTTCCTGTTGGAGCTACTTGCCTGATTTGTTGGCTTCTGCATTTGGCACCTGAAGGCTGGATTTCAACCGGTGAAGGTTTATCCCTCTCTTTGTTGAATGGTATGGTATTAGTTGAGGGAACAGGTCGTAAGGTATTAACTTGGATGTGATTCTGTATAGCAGGCAGTGGCAGATGTCTGAAGCTATTCTCTAACTGAAGATGAGGCTTATATTCTTGGTACTGAATATCGCGCCAAGAGTACTGCATAGTGAGAGTAGAATCAAATGCTGCATATTTAGGGTCTGGTTCCAGTGACCCCCAAGAGTGACTGAGGCCAGTCCCTGAACTGCTGAGCTTCTGAGGTTCAGGAATATTAACAATCTGGGCCTTCTTGGGTTTTGTCATTGACATTGAAACAATACCCTTAAGTTCAGCTTCATGGATTTTATGATCGATATTGTGGGGTGGAATTTTGTTGTCAGAAGTTCCAAAGTGGCCATTAGCAGCATCATCTTGCTGTATATTGATTGAATTGTGAAGGCCAAATTTTCCAGCAGTATGTTTCGGGGAGAGATCTGCCTGCTTTATCCCACCAAAAGAAGCTTTTATATCATTTTCTTTCTGTAACCTACACAAGTAGAGGCGGTATTTCTGCACAATGAAAAGATCTCTGTAAGATTTCAACCGATCACAATATTATCCTAGAAGAATCGTGCGTTTTGGCATATGCGCACATTGTATAAATTTGAATGTAGTCTTTTCGTTTGGAAATATTAGTACCTATTCTATCCCGTAACTCAACTATAATTAGATTTCCAAACGACCCAGACACCACTGTTGCTTGGCATTTGATCAGCTTAACATGTAATGATTATTAACAAAGCCTGCTTGAGCATTATTTCCAGGCTTCAATATCAAAAGCAAAATAGTTGAATGCATGTTACCTGCAAGTGGCTAGCAACATTTTCTCTTGTCAACCATGGCACATTCATCAAGTCGAGTATTTTCTTGGGGCCAACTTCTGCCAAACATACATAAAAATCCATGGCTTGCTTTAAGCGTGATATTGATGGCAGCTATAACATATCTACAACTATTTGGACTACAAACAAGTGTTACCGCCACAAAATGACAAAGTAAAATGTTTAATTCATGACAATCATGCAAAGGCCAAACTTTTGAAGAGGAAAGCTAATGATAAACTTACTATCAAATCCAATCTGATTTACAGCTTTGACAAATTTCTGATGAAGATCTACGGTCCAAACTACTCTAGCTTTCTTCAGAGAAGAAGGATCACCAAAGTCTTTGTTGTCAAGCTTGTTTTCGACATCTTTTCTTTTCTTTCCTGAAGTCAGATCACCTCCATTATGCAAGTATATGTCATCATACTGGTCTGATACATTTCTCATTATCTGAATTTCTTCAAAGCCATCATGACTTTCAATATCTCTCACCTCATGTACCCTCTTTCTAAAGACATGCTGCCATATATTCCGAAGTTCCTTCATTCTTATAGGCTTAAGAAGATAATCACATGCTCCATGTTGAACACCTTTCATCACCCTGCTCGTTTCTCCATCGACAGACATCACTGTACAATTTATTTAGTTAGTGTTAGAAATAGAACCATTCATTTTACTGAAATGCGGTAAACAAGAAATTAACATTCATGACAATGCTTCATATGTTATCGAGAGAGAACTGACTAATGACAGGAAGATCCATCTCAAGTCCCATATTCTCCAGAAGCTTGAAACCATCCATATCAGGCATGTTAACATCACTGATTACGATGTCAAATCCATCTTTTCTTTCACGAAGCAGGTCCAGAGCCTCTCTTGCTAGACCACATGTAGTCACTGATAAACACAACATAACATGAAAATGAATTGTCAAGGAAGTAGAGACATCATTTTCGTTATAACAGTGCAAAAATACAAGTTTAAAGCGTTCAACAGGTAAAGACAAGGCAATGTTATGAGGACTAGGGAAAGCAAAATACACAACTTAAGAGATAAGGATGCAGTGGCGTTCTGCTTCTCCGACAGCAACCATTTCCATGCCAATGCCTCTGATGATTTGATTTGGACATCGTAAGAAAGAGGAGTGACAAGGATTAATAAAAGAGATGACCATGGAGGTGTTGTGCAAGTAGCGGCTCTCAAAAACACAGACAGTCAATGAAAACGGTTTATAAGAACCGACCTTTCAAAATTGTCTCTCCTAATTTTCTTCAATTCTGACTACTGTCAATATCTCTTCTAAAATGGTTTCTTCGACTAGTTACTTGAGGGGTGTAAATATTAAACTCACTGATCCATATTTTGAATATTCACTCAAACCAACCATGAGTGAGCCTCCTATCAAGTTGAGTCCAACCCTTAACTTGGTTTGTTTGATGCCCCTAGCCAACCCTGTAAGCAACATTTTGTAAGATTGTAGCAGAATATCACCTGAATGGATTTACAAACTGGGAAGTTTTAGACATTCACTCGAACCAAACATGTTCTTGATTTTCTGAACAAAATTTCAGCATTATTTGACAACAAGCACTAATTCATCTTTGACACAAATGTTTGTTCATCCTTAACTAGAAGTAATCATGGGAAAGTCATAAAAGGGTCAACCACTAGTTTGATCCGCGGAGATGATAGGTATGACCCTAAAGATGTAGAAAACTAATGAGACAACACCATCCACCTGAGAGAGTTATTTTTGAATAGCTTAGCTATTGTACACCCAACAAGTATACAGGTTCCTGAAGATGTGCATCATAGAATAAGTGCAGCTGAGAATTAATAGATGGTTCATTCATGCTTTGTTTTCACTTGGTTAATGAGTAACATTATAAAAACCTTGTTATCAGAAACATACATGGCACTACAGGCACTTCATCTATGTTTTTCAGACTACTCAAGTCAAGCTAATAGCCAAAGTTCCGAAACTAAATACCAGGTCATTTATCATTATGTCACTCATTTGTATGCCTTGCGTACGACTTGCAATGCACACTTATGCTTTTCATGACCACACTTTGTTTGGACTGGTGAAGAAATATATTAAAGCAAAAACTCAGTATAATGCGCCTGATAGACAACTGAGAAGTTAAAAATTTTACTTATAAATCGTATACTCCTAAAATCCTACATGGTGGTCACTCAAACTGCTGTAAAATCTTAAGCAACAAAATCCTCAGGAACGTAGTTCCAATTAACAGTCTCACCAACGGCAGAAGGAGCCAGAGAGGTGTAGTCAGTCCTAGCTCCTCTTATTATAGTAATATCATCGATATTATGTGCAAATGCTAATTTGTGATAAATAATAATGAATATCAAACAGTCGGATTTTACAGATGACATTCTCCTTAATTTGTTTGGCTAGACTTGAAGTAACTTCAATTTCAATACAAAAAACATATATGCCCAAAGACAACAAATGATTGTTTTACCATTAAATCCAACAATATATGACCTGCTATACGTTATCTCATTCTAAATATCACCAGAAAAACAAATTTCCATACTGTGTACATATTAATCATAAGCCTTGCAATATAGGACACAATTAATGAAACATATAGTGATAAAATTCCATAAGTAGATAGCAAAACTCAAGTTCTTGTAACACCACTTAACCTCACCCCCCTCACCCCCAAAAAAAAAACAAAGCTAAAGATATCATTTTTCCAACATAACTGGATTGTTTGAGGTGAAAAGTAAAAGGGTAAGCTGGCTAGTATGCAAAGCAAACCTTCATATGAACACTTCTTAAGCATCTTTTCAAGGATTTTCAACCATGTTGGATCGTCATCGACCACAAGAACACGTAGCCCAGCCGGAAAGGTATCGGACCGAGGAGAATTAAACCCATTACACTCCATCTAAGAAATTACCAGCAGCAGAGACTGGTGCAAAAGGTTCAGATTCAGGCACAAACAAGACAAGAACTAGTAGATATGTGGAACATACTAAGAATATATATCTCTGTCGAGAGAGAGAAGGAAGAATATTGGCGCCGGCTATAAGCTAATAGTTAACGGTCCGGTCCCTATGGCGCATTAACCGTTAGTTTTCCTTCTTCGGTCTAATCAGTTTTCCCTTTTTTTTGAATGTTTCAGAAAATATATAAGACAAAAGAGTCAATTTATTGGCAAGTGCTAACCATGAGGATTAGAAGTATACAGACCTTTTTCCTTTTACAATAATATCATTATTATTTAATTTTTTAATTTAATTTATTAACCTTATTTTATTTTATTGAATTAATAGCGAATTATAAAACTAATTTACGGTTAATCCAATAATTAACTTATTAAATTGGATAAGATTGTTCTATTGTTATTTGGATATCTTAATCATAAAAGTAAGCTTTTTTCACGCGAGGTACGTCTGAGTATTTTTTCTTAACTTGTAATGATAAAAGCTCTTGTATTAAACTCTTCTTTTAAATTCATAATCAACTGTGTTAACTTCATAATCAACTAACTGTAGTAAAGCTGCTTCTTGACCACTAGTTGGATGCATAAATGAGAGATTCTTTCACAAACTAACATTAAATATTACCATTGGAGCACTTTGAAAAGTTGTTTTTAAAATTTCAAAGGTAGTTTAAGCGAATCAGAGACGAATAAGAAACTCAGACACTATAAAATTTAAATCTTGACAATTTTTTAGAATCAGGTCATAAGAGATTTATTCATTATAAATATCATGATCCTTGTGTGAATAGTCTGTTTTTAACCAGACCGACTAAAAGAGAGAATTAATTGAAGTGCATGTAAAGTAGTCCCAACAACCACGACCATTCTTAAAAAAAAAAAAAATAGCCTAAAACTGATGTAACCTTTAGGGAGTAAAGAAATGGAATTGGTCCACAATGGAACCTCTTTTTTTTTATGTGCCTAGAAAAATCACAGAAAATTGTTGGGGGTACCACTCACCCTCCTTTGACATTTAGTTGATTTACTTTTAGCCAATAACCCTTTGACAACTACAAAGTTTAAAGAAACATACCCATACAACAAGGGTAATTCAAAAAATCTTGGTAGGGCTATTGAGATTATTGATATGCTTGACTCCCAATCGTACATATACTTTATTAATTTATAACCTTTTGCAAGCACTTTGTACTTGGTAGATTAGGTTTCCTCTCTTCAATATTCTAGTATAGATACAAGACACACACGTGCGAGCACACACACACATATTACACACTTATATATATATGTGTATAATATTAGGTAAACCTCACAACAAGATTTAAATCCTCCGCCTACTAAAGACAATGCTTCTTTTGCAAATGGGCGTACGACATGACATCCCAATCATGTAGTCAATTTTTTCCAACTTGAATGGAATTACAAGTAGATTCCTAACTTATCCACTTTTCACTTTGTTTTACATGTCTTTTACAGTTGGATAGATTAATCCAACTTAAGAATCATTATGGAAAGTTTAGAGCTCTAATTCAACATCCAGTATGGATATTCTTAACTAAATCAAACTCTGTAGAAAGTCTTGTTTCAACTATTTAAGGTCGATTAGATGGATTGTATTTCGTTATTGTGGCATATAATGTACGGGGCTAACCATTCTTAACGTAACCAGCTTCGATGTAAAGTTATATAGTAATACTTTAGTTTTAACGGAGTTGGGTTATAAAGAGATTGATCAGTCATATCTATAATATAAATGGAATTAACAAGAACCTATAAACAAATCATGTATTAATAGAGTAAATTTTGATATGATATGAACCCAACACGATACAACCCTTTATCAACTTTAAATTAACATATAAACTAGTATTTTTCTATAGCTCAACCAATATGCATACAACAAAGGCATATCAATCATGTTGGGTCAAGAGTGAAACGGTTCGTGTCAAGTCTTAGTGGATTCATGTCAAAAAATATTTGACTCATACCGATTCTTTTATTAATTCATGTCATATAGAGTTTGTATTGTATATGAACCGTGTATTTTCTCCTGATTCACTTCACTCATATTCAATTCATTTATTAATCGTATTGTATTAGGTCCACTCGTTTACTAAACGAATGGTTTAAAGAAAATTCACTCTCTCTAATTTCGTATCGTGTTAATGGGTCTGTCATATTTTGACTATGACACCCCTACTGTGACATATAAAATCCATGTGTAAAAGCTGACGGAATAAATTTCTATTGTTTCTAACACAACATATAACACACACACACACACACACACAACAATTTCTACCTTCTCAGTATGAAGATACATAACATTGATCAAACCATCTGTTTGTTTTCAATTTGTAATTGCCCAAAAAGGCTTCAACTTTGAAAGAACATGAAAGGTTTTAAAGTTGTACCCTTTTGAGAGTGAGTGGGGTAAGGATAGGCTTTCCAAAAGGAAGTCCAATGGCTAGCAAAAGGAAATGCCCACTAACAAACCACTCCCACTTTATGTTAAAGAGAATTATTTGCTGGGAAGCATGATTGGGGAGTACCAAATTGGGAGGACGAACTCCATGCAACTTCTCTCAAGTGGAATGCTGCTTTTTACTAATTTAATTGAAAGTGAGAATTTTACCTTGAGCCTTTGTTATTATTCTCTTCTCTGATGCTTCAGGTATTGCCCATAACCTGTTTGCCTTTTTTCCCCAATGAATTTAATTGTTCCTAAGAGCTAGCATGAAGATGATTGATAGTAAGTACGAGCCCTTCATTCAAAGAATATGCCATAGGTTTGATTCGGGGGCAGTTGGACCCGTTAAAAAGGGTGTTGGTAGGGAGTGAATTGCGAATATGTTCTAATGAATTATGAATTTGCTTTAGGAATAGAAATTTTTGATACGATGCGAAACCACGACTCGAAATTAGTAGATCAGGGTTGATAATTTTTCTACATAAACTCATAAATGTTGTCGACTTGTTAATACGAATAATAAATAAATCGGATTAGTATTAAACACGAATAATATGAAATTGACACAATTAACATCTTTAATTAGTATTATAAGAATAAAATGTTAATTTTTATTATATTTTATCAAGACATAATTATTATACAAAAAAATATATATTTTAATTCATTTTTGTTATTATATTTATTAATTCAATTTATAGTTTATAGAAAAATGATGAGCAAAGGTTCGATTAAGTGACAATTAAATTTTAAACTTAAATCTAAGCATTAAATTTTTTATTCACCAGTTATCTGGGTCAATACGAACCCGACACAAAATTAAATAAGTTGACTTGACTCGACATGATTACTTAAACGGGTTGAGTTAAGATTAACTAATGATCAACGCGACACGATTATTACTTTTTTTTCATTTATCAATCGTTTGACCAAATATAAGATTATGGTATATTTAAACTCATATTTTGTCAACTCTATGCTCCGTTTGGTAAGAATGATAAAAAGTATGAATGATGGAAAGTATGAGGGATACACTTTCGATCCTTCAATGATAGAAAGTATAAATGATACACTTTCTTTCATTTATGTTTGGTTGGGTGGATGGAAAATAAAAATAACTAATTTTTTTTTTTAATGTTTTTTTTGTGATGGCTAAAATTAGGGTTGTCATCGAGTCATGTTATGTCAGATTCGTGTTGAGTTATAAAATTTTGAGTTTTTTATATTTTTTATTCTCGTGTCAGGTTATTTTTAAGTTCGTATCGAATTATAATTAAGTTCGTGCATAAAATTCGTGTTAAGTTCGAGTCGTGTCATCGTGTTGAGTCGAAATTTGCATCCCTAGTTAAGGTGAAGAAAATATTTTTTTAATTAAATTTTTTTATATTTTTATTTTATTTTTAATTTTTTTTTTAAAAAAAAAAAAAAATATATATATATATATATATACATATTTTATCATTGTATTTTTATATGAAATTAATAGAAATATAATATATACACAAATAATTAACTTTCCATCCACTTTCCTTCCAATTTTGGAGGGATTGATTTTAGTGAGTTGAAAGGAAAGTTAATTCATCCACTTTTTCATCCTTCTTATTTTTCTTCCTTTTCAAATATGATGTTTTATTTATTCCTCCAACTTTCTATCCTTCCAACTTTTAATCCTTCTATTTTTCTAACATATCAAACAGAGCATAAAGATTAAAAATAGATTGTACTATATTAAATACGGGTCGGTATTAAAACTGACTCAATTTTATTTAAAATCATGTATCATTATGTTTGCGTCGTGTACAGTCAGAAAAACTATGGGCCCGTTCTAAAGCAAGTCCGGCTATCAATAAAATTATAATTCCAACCTGTTAAAACTAAATTAACTAACTGAATTCATATTTGACTAACTGAATCCATATTTGACTAACTGAATTCGGATCAGAATGTGATCCATTGATATGGTGTAAATGGAGGAGTTGTCCTAATTTTCAACTGAAGAATTGATTAATTTAAGCCTATACAAGGAATATATAGAGACCTCATTGCTCCTTTGATCACAACTGCCACTGCAAGATTGTTCCACCAGGTCCAGTTCTGCTTAAGACCATTCTCAAACCATAATCCTTTTTCATGTTTTCAGTTTCAAATTGAACAATTTATTAGTCTTAGTTAACTTATTTTGGAAATTCAATAACCTCAATTAACCCAACTCTGAGACCATAAGCTCCAGACCAAACCCCACGCCTTCAATAAGGCTAGAAACCTAACTTAGCAGTCAGGGTAAAGCAGTACAAGTTTCACAAACAAGCATGAGTTTTTGCTTGCAATCAAGGGTAGTATAGGTGCTAATCCATCATCTAAAGTACACTCAAAACAAATTATCGAGCGAGCCACCGAGCTAGATTATCATAAACACAACCTATTAATATGTTACGAGGGTAGAAAGATAACAAGCATTCCATCACAAAAGTTGGTAGAAAGGAGACCAATATCATCTGGTCAAGTTTAAGTGAAATGATTCCAAGGCCTGAAACCAGCAATAAGAACACCTACAACCACAATTCAATGGCCTTTTCAACCCCCCCCCCCCCCCCCCAAAAAAAAAAAAAAAAAAAAACTAATTCAACATCATCAATATAAGCTATAATATGATGAAAATGCCAAATAGATAGCAAGTCTACATAACATACAAACTTATTCATGACCTGTTGTACATCATGATGTATAGGAATTAACACATACCAGGCAATTCTAGTAGCTTGCCATTTCGATTCCACAACTCAGGTTCCAAAATGCTGAGCTGAATGCTAAGCATGTTTTTCACATCTTTATTCTCACCAAATACTTGGAGGTCCTTAGGCCTTACTTTCATCTAAGCTTCTCATTAAGGGACTTCACCAATCTTCGAATTCAGCTGCTTTATCCTTGAGCTTCAGTACACGACTTTTTTGACTTGTTCAGTTATTTATATACAGCTACTAGGGAACGGCTCTTGAATCTGGCACTGCAGAAGAGATGATCAAGCTTTTCATATGAGAGGATATGTACAACTAACAGTCAGCTTATTTCATGGTTATCACTCCCACTAATGCGAGTCAGATCATGTAATCGTAGAGAAGCAAATGGTGGTCAGGCACAATGAGCGGCAAGTTTTCAATGTACAGGTAAAAACACCTTAGATTCTCCTTTGCAAGGGTAATTAAATCCACCACATCATTGTCATTTGTGAGAACCCATAAATCCCTGGAGCTCACTCTCTTCAGGCTGCCTCGGCAAAAAGGGCATGATTGAGATCGCACATTCCTGCAACATAGAACATTGTACATTTAACACATGTCCTCCTTATCGATAACCTACAAAATTGTTATGAGGAAATAGCAAACCAGTGAATATGGAAATGGGAATTGTTCACACCAGTCATGGAAGCAGTTAATGCACATGGAGTGGCCACAATTGGGCAATACCATCTTGGTACTATTTTCCATGCAAATCCCACACTCATCATCTCTCTCAGGATCTTTATCAGAGGACTTACTCTTCCCCTCAACCTCTTCCTGGTCAAAATTTCAGAGCGTCGAGTTCTTTTCTTACTGTCTTCCATCAATTCCATTAGATCACCTTCAAGTTGCTGAAGTGAAGGATATATAACAGCTGCAAGAATTTTCCATTTAAATGACTATATGAAAGACCATGACATCCAAGAAAAAGTAAACATAGGAAACAGGAGTCTGAAGGTATCAAGTACGAAGCATATGAACAAAAGAACAGACCATAGAATTCCCTTAGAGAGGTCTTCCTTTCTTGTGAGGACATTGTTGGCATTCCATCAACATATATCTATACATTTAACACAACAATTTTTACAGGGGTCTTTACATTTAATTGGAAAGGATTGACAAGGGGAAATTAATAAACAAAGTAAAAGAAGGCAGTGAATGAGATAAAACGCCCACCTTGGATACAAGTATGTTCAGGAGGCCTAAATAACTTGGGAGGTTATCTGTACAACTATAGTCCAAATCCATCCATTCTATTAGAAATAGCAAGAATGGGGCAAAAGGGCTGTAAGACAATTTCATCTGAAAATAATCCCCAACACAATCTCGCGGAAGAGCAGCCGCCCTGTGAAAACCCCTCGAAACCACAATCAGTAACATAATTAATCAAGCATTTGCTTGCAAATTCGCAGCACAATAATAGAATATAAAATAGCATTAAACGTTAAGAATATTACAACCTCGTATGTTGGGAAACCATGAAGCTACTAAAAAAATAGCAAACGAAAATCATCATATGTAGGAACATTTATACAAAAATATTCAACAATCTTGGTAGTGACATCCAACTGTGTTGTCTTAATTCAAAATTTCAGAGGGCAGACACTTCAGAAAGAGATGAATTGGAGATAGAAAGGGTTTTCACAGACATTAAAGTCTCATCTTGAGGCATTTCTTGTCCCTTTTTTTCCCATTTTGAAAACCAAATGCATTAGTTAAATTTACCAACTTTACCTTCTGAACGATAAATAGGACCCAACTACGACAATGACATTTCAACCCACTGTCATCAGTATCACCATATCAACAATGATCAGAATATCAGAGTTTTAGAACCAGTTCTAACAACCGAGGAAACAAAATAATACATATAGGTCCTACAGATTTTCAGATTGAACGTAACAGAGGAGCAATATCACAAAAAGGGTATATAAAAGTACAAGAAGAAAATTTTAAGAAGGCTTACAGAGTATTAGCATGTTGAATATCAGCTTCAAGGGCCTTGACAGATTCTCTGAAAGAAGATTTGTGGGTCTGTTTCTGCCGCATCAGTTCTCACTTTGTTATGTTTTTTAGGAGAAAGAAGGGAATAAAATGACAAAAAGAGAAGGCTTTTTTGAGAGGGTTTTAAAGGGCTGAGAGAGAGAGAGAGAGAGAGAGAAGATATCCCTTTCTTTTCGTGAAGTGGGAGAGGTTACAGACTTACAGCACTAAGCAAACGGCTCTTTCTGTCTCTCTCTCTCTGATCTTATTGTCTTCATATTTCTTAACTTCTAACCATAATTGTAGTACCATTTTGTTTCCAAGTCTGATTTTGCTACTTTGGTACTAGGTTTTGAAATTTCAATGTTAGCCCACCTGGCACCGTTCTTGAGAACATTAATGGACGCAATTAAGTAATAGACGCAATTAGGACTTATAATCCTATCAAGAGTTTATGGAATGATTTTCGGTACGAGTAATGATATGTATCTCAAATCAAGGAAGATTATTAGATTAGTGGGTTATATTTAAAAAAGTTGATGGGACTCATTGATTCAATGGTTCTCCTTAATTTGGGATATAAATTTGAGATACATAGCACTACACTTTTGGACGTCCACCCCCTTTTTTGCTTATTAAAAAAAAACCATGTTATTAATGTCATCAAGTAATTAATTATTAATAATTATCTTATCTCAAAATTGTCGATTCATCAATTTTATTTGGTATTTTATTATTAATTAATAATAGAAAAAATCTCAATTCACATCCTTTTTAATTTATCATATTTTCAAAGACACTTCTATTTTTTCGATCTTTATTGACATTTTCGGTCAGATTAAAAGTCTTATCTGAAATCTAATTTTATTAAATTGTTCATGATATATTTTAAAAAAAATTTCATCCACACTACCTCTAGATAAGTATATCTTCAATGAGACCCCTATATTTTATGAATTTTTTACGTATTAAAATTTAGGTTGATTAAAATTCATTTTTAATTGGTTCGAATCAAATTTTAATCAACTCGTATTGAATTTTAATCTACTCAAATTTTGATACGTAAAAAAATATAAATTTTAATCGACTCAAATTTTAATACGTAAAAAATAAATTTAATCAACTTAAATTGAATTTTATAAGTAAAAAAATATAATTTTAATTGGTGCTAATAGCTCAGGTTGAACTCAAATCTGCTCGAATTTTAATACGAAAAAAAATAAAATTTAATCAATTCGAATCAAACTTTAATCAACTCAATTTTTAATATGTAAAAAAATAAATTTTAATCACTTCGAATTTAATATGTAAAAAATAAATTTTAGTAGGCTCAAATTTTATGTAGAAAAATTATTTAGGGTTTATCTAAGGGTAATTTTGGTATTTTAAATAAATTTTTTTTATTAAAAATAGTGGTTTAATGGCAGAGTGTGTCAGTAATGTTTAAATATAAACTAGATAGAGTATTAGTAATGTTTTGAATAATAGAAGAAATATATTTAAAGATATAATAAATTAGAATACATGTGACAAAAAAATTTCTTTAATTATATTATATGTTAATATTGTGGGTAAGTTTCATATTTTTTGCAATATGCCTCCGTCTCAAATTGGTCACAAAAATCCATGTTAATGGTTAATCAAATAAGAAATATTTATATAATAAAATAACTTGCAATTCAAATCTTAAAAGATAAACAAAATAACTTTTGTTATTCGCAGTTAAAATCGTTTTAAATTTTATTTAAAATTAATCTAACGGCTAATATTAACACTCTAAATTAAATATGAAAATAGGGTCATAAGGGTGTGTTTAAAATGATTTTTTAAAAGTACTTTTAGAAATTATTTTTCATAAATACTTTAAAAAAAAATAGTGTTTGAAACCGTCTCACCACTACCTCTACCCCCACCACCACCGTCGTCGTCGTCGCCACCACCACCACTAACATTACCACTGTCGCCACTTCTGCCGCCGCCACCACCACAATTGCCCCCGCCACCCCCCATCACCGCCGTTGTCACCACCATCGTCACCCCCACACCCACCATTGCCACCACTATCCACTATCACCATCGCCACTACCACCGCCTCCACCACCACCCCATCACCGCCGTCGCCACCACCGTCTTTGCCACCACCACCATCATTGCCGCCTTTACCACTGCTATCACAATCATTGCCATCAACCACAACCATCACCGTCTCCTACCATCACCAACTGCCGCCCACTACCTCTTACCCCACTACAAATCGATGCTTAAATTTCTTTATCTATTATCCATGTTTGTTATTTAATTTTGAATATAAATATAAATATGTTTATTGTTTGCTATTTTTTATTACTCTGTGTCTTCAAGCACAGACAATAATTAGTTTATATAATAAAGTAGCTTACAATTCAAATCTCAATAAATAAACAAAATGACTTTTAATATTCGCAGTTGAGATCGCTTTAAATTTTACTTTTAAATTAATCTAATGGCTAATATTAACACTCTAAATTTAATAAAAAAAAAATAAGCTCATAAGGGGTGTTTTGAATAACTTTTTAAAAGTACTTCTACAAATTATTTCTCATATATACTTAAAAAAAAATAGTATTTGAAACTGCTCCACCACTACCACTACCCCACCACCACTACCTTTACCACCACCTCTGCCGCCACCTCCACTACCACCACTGTCATCGTCGCCACCACGACCTCCATCATTGTCATTGTCACCTACCGCAACCATCACCATTGTCATTGCCACCTACCACAATTATCACCGTCTCTTATCACCATCACTGCTGCCCATCACCTCACTCCCATTACAACCAATGTTTAAATTTATTTATCTCTCCTATATATTTATGATTTGATTTTGAATATGAATATAAATATGTTTATTATTTAACATTTTTTATTATTTTGTACATTCAGGCACATGCAATAACTAGTATATCTTATATATCAAAAATAAATGTCCTTGTTTGAAAAATAAATTCCACGTCGAAAATATCTCAAAAATTCATGTTGGGATGGAGAAATGGAACAAGTTTTTTTTTGGAATAAAAGTTATATTTCAACATCTCTCTAAAAATTAGGTCATTTTGGTGATGGACTATGTGCATATTGTGTTGGTGGTATATGTAATAATCCAAAAAAAAAAAAGGAAAATTTGAATGTCCATCAAAGAAACTATAAGAGACTTATTTAGTGATAAATTTATCAAAGAAAATGAACTCTGTTGTCCAAAATACCTCTAGTAGTTATGTTTAATTAAAACAAATTTGAAAGCTAACAACTCTTAAATTTTAAGAGTTTGACTAACATTAAAATTATTTTTTTTCTCTCTCTGATATCTATCTATATCTATATATAAAATAGGACTATTTATTTTTCTCTCTCTCTCATAATAACATTAAAAAAATAATAATAACATTTTAATTATAAAAAATAATACTATTCAAAAACAAAAAAAAATAATAACATTAAGTTTTAATATTTGAAAAAATAACAGTAGAAACATGCTCATAAAAACAGTAACGTGATATATATATATATATATATATATATATATATATATATATATATATATATATATATATAAAGACAGGGAGACAAAGACAGAGAGAGTATCAATTGTTCTTTGAATTTTAATTTCAAATTTATATAAAAAAAATTATTGGCATATCTTCATTGATAGTAAATTAAAAAATAATAATTCTCAAATTAGGAAACTAATTTAAAGTTGCTTTCAAAGAATAGTATTTTGGAGTTTTAAAAAAATAGTGGATTTAAGTACATATTAATAAAATTAAAAATAGATTTATTCCTAAATAAATTTTCTTGACAAATTAAACTCATTATAAATATTGAGGACTCAATTTCAATTTTCAAAAAAACTATCAGTCAAATCAATTTCGGTCAAGGCCCAGCGTCACACCCTACATAGACCATACCCCATTGAGTAGCTTTTGTAGTCCAAGGCCCAACCTTCTTTCACTACCAGACCAACCACCAGATTTAGTCATGGCCCAGCGTCCGACCCCACATACCTTTTGAGAGGCTTTCGTAGGACATCTCCTCAGGCCCAAGGTTTTGCCCTATGTCGGACATCTAGTCTACAGTAGTTTTTATAATTAGAGAAAGTTAATCCTAATTTTTTGAGATTGAAGCTTAATATGGGACTTTGTCATTGTATTAGCAGTAAGCACATGAAAAAACTTGGGCTTTTTATTGCAACCATAAACAAATCGTGTTGTTAAAAACTTATTCATTCATTTATAAACGAATCAAACTCGAACTCAATTTGAAACCTCATTTAATCAATAAACGAGCCTGAACAATGACTTGCTCACTGCTTGTGCTTAGCTTTGAAATGAGCCTAAACTTTAGGTTAAACTAGAATAGAAACTTGATCTTAGATCATTTTAATTATAACAATCAAACCCAAATGTGAACAAGATGTATGATCCCAAATACTTGTCGCAAGCAAATGAACCGAGTCCAAATAGTCTAGTACTCGACTTAGTTCGAGTCAACCATGGCCTATCCTGATTTGGTTGAAGGCTTGAAGCCCTGAAGGAATCAAAGACAGGGAAGGAGATGGGGACCATGTTTTAACATGTTGACATATGAAGGGCATCAACTTCTTACTTTTGGAAACTTTATAGAGGATAAAGCTAAAGACAAGTTGGTCCAAAGTGACAAGAAAGATTTTGTTGTTATCAAAAGCAAAAGCAAAAGCAAAAGCAATCTAAAGCAAGGACATATTATACTATGTTCTTGTCTTGATATCTATTTTTTCTTTATAAGATGCCTTTGCATGGCCAAACTTCTATTCATACAGTCATGTGAAACACCATACTAAATAAATGGACCAAGTACATTAATGGCTGCTCAGATGTGTGTTTTGTGACACTTTGATCTTCATTCTTTCAATTTTATTATTTTTGTTCTTTAAGTTTCCAATTTGAATCATTTTGGTCTAATCGAAAACCACACTTAAATAAGTGATTGTGTGCCTCTCATGCGAACATATTTGAATGGCATTCTTTGGAAGCTTGCGGGATTAAAGTGGCAAAATTAAAGAATGGAGACCAAAATAACACAACTTGAAAACTTGAAGAACCAATTTTTTATTGGGGCTAAATGACAAATATTGAAAATTAAAGGGCCAAAATGATAAAAATTAAAGAATAAGGAGACCAAAGTGACATAAAATGCATACTCTAGGGACCATTGTTCTATTTTACCCCCCAATAATTGCAATAACAAACTATAAGAGATTGATTCACTCACATGTCACCAGTCAGATTCTGATGTAAAAGAGAGAAGCCAAGAAAATGTCATCCATCATTCAATAAAACAACCAATTCCTGGTTGGTTAGGACCCTACCATCTTGACCATACTTGCATATGTTTCCAATTCATTAGATTGCTGAACCAGTTAGGTCACTAATTCACTTGCCATATTTCTAACAAAACAATAGATACTGGCGAGGTAAGATTGTATACATTTGACCCTCCCTAACCTACACTAATGGGAGTCTTGTGCACTAAACCACGTTTTTTCTTTTTTTTTTTTAAAAAAAAAAAGGTAAATAACTAGATAAAGAAAGAACAAAAAAACAAAGACATACCAATCTGTTCTCACTTTCTGGCTTACACTTGTGTCATGTTTCATGCATTATTAGTATTCTTTTCCAAAGCAAGAAAAGGTGACTCTAAGAATGGGGGTGGAATTTTTCTTTGCTAGGAAAAAGCAGATTTCAAAATCATGAAAAGACAGAAACGTGAATGAACATTGCATAAATCCATCAATCAGAAAAAGTAAAAGGTAAGTGGATGAAAGATGGGCAAGTTTGTTGAACTTAACAACAAAATCTTATGCTACCATTGACTGAAAATGCTAACCATAGACAAGTTCCAGAGGATTGATTTCTCTTCTTCCTGATCTTCCATGGCCATGGGCTTATTTTTATCTTTCGTTTTTGTTTTTCTTTCCTTAATTCCCTCTGTCATGTGCCAAGTTACAGGTATGTTCTCTATACATCTCTAAACACTACAATTTTAAGAATATTTCCTCACAAAATGCTATTGAAGTAGTGATCAGAGCTTGGATTTCACACACACACAAACATATATCACATATTTTGTGTAGAATATGCATGCTGAAAAAGAAACAAGATGAACATGACAAGATTTTCTTCAACACATCACACACAGAATGTAACAGAACAAGACAGCTCACTTCTTCATAGTTTTCTGCTCTACTTAGTTAACTAGAGGATAAAGATCATGTGAATCTCAATTTAGTAAGCAAACAATTCTATATGCAGAGTTCACTAGCATTGACTGTGGAGGCACAAGTAATTATACCGACCCAAATACCCGCTTAGCATGGATTTCGGACAACGGAGTCATTCGCCATGGAAATCCAGTAGAAGTAGAGAATCCAGATGAAAACTTGCCGCAGTATCAAAGACGCAGAGACTTTCCCATAGACAACAAGAAGTACTGCTACACTCTAAGCACTGATGAGAGAAGGCGGTACCTTGTTCGAGCAACATTTCTGTATGGCAGTTCTGTGGAGCAAGATACATACCCCAAATTCCAGCTGTACTTAGATGCAACCAAGTGGTCAACTGTGACTGTGTTGGATGCTTCAAGAGTATATATTAAGGAGATGATCATTAGGGCACCATCACAATCCATTGATGTATGCCTGTGCTGTGCAACAACAGGATCTCCATTTATATCCACCCTCGAGCTTCGGCCATTGAACCTTTCAATGTATGCAACGGATTTTGAGGATGAGTTCTACTTAGAAGTAGCAGCAAGAGTAAACTTTGGAGCTCTAACCAAGGAAGCCATAAGGTAAGCTCTCATTGAATGGTCACATCTGCAATAAAAAGATCAGAAGCATATCTTCTTCGCTGTTGGGCGCAAGATGATATGACACCTATTGACCTCATACAAACTAAATTTTGCAATATTGCTAAAAGAAAGTGAAACATATTACCAGATGTATCAGTATTTACGAGATAAAAAAAAAAAGAAAAAAAAGAACAAAACACTAAATTCCAAGCCAATTACTTCGGAATCAAAAACTTGTTGAGTGGAAAAGCCACACATGCTAGACACCACTACTGCAATCACATCAAACTGCCTGTTTCCCTCAGGTACCCGGATGATCCTTATGACCGTATATGGGATTCAGATCTCGATAAAAGGCAAAATTATCTCGTAGGGGAGGCCCCTGGCACAGAAAGAATCAATACAATGAAGAACATAGACACAAACACAAGAGAATACCCACCGATTAAAGTAATGCAAACTGCAGTGGAGGGCACCAAAGGTACAATCAGTTACAGATTAAATCTAGAAGATTTCCCTGCCAATGCTCGAGCTTATGCATATTTTGCTGAAATTGAAGACTTGGGAGTGAATGAAACTCGAAAGTTTAGAATGGAACAGCCTTATATTCCCGACTACAGCAATGCTGTTGTAAATATTGCTGAGAATGCCAACGGAAGCTACACTCTATATGAACCCAGCTATATGAATGTTACATTGAATTTTGTGTTGTCATTTGCCTTTGTAAAGACCAGGGATTCTACTCGAGGACCACTCCTAAATGCAATCGAAATAAGTAAATATGTGGAGATTGGCCCCAAGACAGAGGGGCAAGATGGTAAGACTCCAATCTTGGTATGCTTACTCTTCAATCAATCCTTCTCACCATGTAAAGCATACAAATTTATAATAGTGCCCGTATGAATGAAAAAATATGTGAAATTATGGATGTGCTTTACCCTATGCGCTAATTCTTTGAATGTTTTAACATGGAAGTGAATATTCTCAATGCCCTTCGCTCCATGTCTGCTGGGAGTGATTGGACAGCTGAAGAAGGTGATCCTTGTATCCCTGCTCAGTGGGAATGGGTGAGTTGCGACAATACCATTCCACCAAGAATCACAAAAATGTAAGTTCATTACACTTTGTCAATGAAAATAACGGGGCATCTGAGACATAAGTGTACTACCAGGACAATACAAGCATCCGCTAGGTAAATAACGAGAACGTTTTAAAAAAACATACAATGCTACATCCACACATTGAATGGATTTGTAAATGCAGACCTGAACAAAATTCAGCTCATTGTTGTGCTACGACAGCTTAAAATTATAGACAACCAAAAGAAAAAAAAAATGTAAAAAATTGTGCAATCATCAACGACATTTAAATATCTTCAAAACTTAGGAATATTGGTGTATGTGGGCTACAGCTTTTTGCCTCCTATTGAGAGTAAAAGGGGTGTAGCAGTGTAAATTAGATTTACAAAAAAAAAATATGTGCAAATTAGATGGAAGCTCACACTTCCTTGATAAAAGTTAATCCAAGAAACAAAAATAAAATGGATGCAATTTTCCCTACACTACATATTCTACTGACCTGTTTGAACAGTGCACTGTCAGGCAAAAATGTGAAGGGTGAAATCCCATCTGAGCTGAACAACATGGAGGCATTGACAGAGCTGTAAGTGCTGATTTATAGTAAGGATAGAAGTTCATCTCCATTGTTAATTCCTGTCTCAGTCTGTTGTACTGGTTTCTATATATTAGATGGCTGGATGGCAACTCCCTCAGTGGGCGAATCCCCGATATGAGTAGTCTAGTCAATTTGAAAATTGTGTAAATCTCTTCCCTCATATGGCTTTCATTTGTTTACACCAAGAGAATTCCAGTTTTGATGACCACTTGTTAACTTTTGGTGAATTTGCAGGCATCTAGAGAATAACAGATTGTCTGGTCCATTACCTTCTTACCTGGGTAGTTTACCAAGCTTAACAGAACTGTACGTAGTGACCTAGATATCTTAACATCTGCACGACCATTGCATTGACACTCCCTATTGTAGAAACATTTATGTTTGGAAGTTTCAAAAAATAAGGGTAGATATGCTTTCCCTAAATACTGAGCTACTGGCTCCAAATTTAACTGTGCAGTAATTTGTGTCCATTTATGTGGCAGGTATGTACAAAACAATTCTTTGAGCGGAAAAATTCCTCCAGCATTGTTAACAGGAAAAGTAGTTTTCAAGTAAGTATGCTTCCTATATACAATAAAAGAATATTATTATTATTATTTTTTTATTTTTTTTGGGGAAGGGGAAAGGGGAAAGGGGAAAGGGGAAGGGGGAAGGGGGAGGGGGATTGGACCAAAGGCCCATTGGTTACAATAAAAGAATAAACATGCTTTTAAACCAAGATATACAGCGAGCACCATCATGGAGACTATCAGGCATACATAAGAGCAACATAACTACATTTGCCAAGAGAATAAAAGATGAAGCTTTTATTGCCAAATAAACTCAAATTTGTGTTTGTGTATCATATTAGATAACTCATGAGGTCATCATTACTCCAGTGTATGAAAAAAGAGTTAAATTATCCAGCACTTAACTTAGTCCCATCAGATGTCCCAAGCTCTTTTCCATTACATAGACACAAATTGTGCACCAAGGATCAGATTAGTAGAAATAAGGTGAAAGGTATACAGCCATCAAGACCCCAGGCAAAATGCAAATATTTCTGCAGAAACACTTGAACATGCATCGCAGAATAATAAGACAGTTTCATGGTAACATATACTAGGGCAAAGTAATCATGATGGTCCAAAGAAACACATTTACATGAGAGAGAGAAAAAGGGGGGGGGGGGAGAGAGAGTGAGTTTCAAACAATCTAGCACAGCACTTATTTTGAAAGCCGCATTTTTTTGCGTGCAGCTATGAGCATAATCCTGGGCTAAGTCGAGGAGGAAAGCATAAGACTAATTATAAATTGATACTTGGAACTTCGGTGGGAGTACTAGCAATTCTGCTTGTTCTGTTTGTGGGAAGTTTGCTACGATTGCGTTACAATCGGAAAAAGACATATTATCAGAAAAATGATGGAAAAGGTATGAACCCTTACAACTTCCTTTCATTACCTTTGATACTAAGGTGCAAATCCACTCCATAGACAATACTTCTCTTTTGCCGATCAGGTGATTCTTTGCGCACCAGCACAAAGCCTTCAACTGCCTACTCATATGCACGAGGTGGGCATTTGATGGATGAAGGTGTAGCATACTACATTCCACTCTCAGAGCTAGAAGCAGCTACGAGAAATTTTGCCAAGAAAATTGGAAAAGGAAGTTTTGGACCTGTATACTATGGCCAAATGGAAGATGGAAGAGAGATAGCAGTTAAGATCATGGCTGATTCATCTAGCCATGGGACCCAGCAATTTGTTACTGAGGTAATTGTATGTTCAGCATGGTTTATGTTAACATCATCACTTTATCCATTGCGCGGAAATGAATCTGCCATTATTTTGCTACACTCCAATATCCTGCAAGCCAATAAGCTACAGATTTCTAAGTTTGTCACTCACTAACTTATAAGTATGCTGATCAAGAGAACATTAATTTCCTTGGCTAATTAGAGGCTATCTTTGCAAATATAAGATCTCTGCAGCACTCCTTTTCTTCATGGATAATTCTATTAACGTGGGTGATTCTAAAAAAGTGGTTTAGTAATGAAATGAAACCAAACTGACAGCTTTTTTCATTGATTGAGCTTTTGAAAAGAAGCAACTTCCTAAACAATCCCTGTGGAACTTGAACATGATAACACAACTAAAATGTATCTCCATGAAAGAACTAGAAAATGTATGAACTATATAAGACTGGTAGCATAAGGAGAAGTGATTAGGAATTAAGATGTAAACATTTTTCCTTGATAGATTTTTTTTTTAACGAGAAACAACACTTTCATTTCATTGAAAGAAGCATAAGAAGTGTAGATAAATAGTGGATAAGGAATCCACCTTAAAGAGCAAAATAAGACAAATAAAACAAAACAAAATTAAAGAATACAAACAGCTTTCCAGTTGTGTTAGAGAGCACAATTGTGTTGGAGAGCTGATAAAGACATATCTCAAAACCCTTTAGTAACAACCGCCCATAAAGATGCCAGAAACTTCACTCTATCCCACAATAAATCATTTTCCTCCTTCTGTCCTCCTTCAAAAAATTCTACAGTTCCTCTCTCTATCCATACCACAAAAAAAAATGACCAAAATTGCACAGTTCCATAATGTTAAAGCTTTTCTCCCTTTACCAAAACCATCCAATTGCATTACCAAGAGAGAAGCACAATAGCGGGTATAAACAATATCGAATCTGCTTCCTTCGAGAGTTTGTGTAGGGCAACAAAGGAACAAATGGTCAACACTTTCACAACTTTGCTTGCACAAAACACACCATTGTGGGGAAATATAAGTGTTAGGCCTTTTCTTTTGCAACAAAGAAAAGGCATTTTCTTTGATAGATGAATTCATCAAATACAGACATGAGACTCATATAATAGAAAAAAAAAATCCACTAAGCAAAGTTTGCAATCATTATCAACCATTTCAAATCATTAACTACAAAAACATACTCACAGGTAGCTCTCTTGTCAAGAATTCACCACAGAAACTTGGTTCCTTTAATTGGATACTGTGAAGAAGAATATCAACGCATGCTGGTTTACGAATACATGCACAATGGTACCTTGCGGGATCACATACATGGTCTGCTACCGTTCCCATTTTCCAGTATATTATTTTACAAAAATAACTAAAGCAACACAGTGACATAAAACTGTTGACAGATCCTGTCAAGCAGAAGCACTTGGACTGGCTAGCTCGTCTTTGTATTGCAGCAGATGCGGCAAAAGGTTGATATGGAACTTCTCTCTTGTTCATGTAGCAATGAATTTTAAAGCCAACAGCGTGATTGCAAGTTCAGATTTTTGTAGGCCTCGAGTACCTACACACTGGATGCAACCCTAGTATCATTCACCGAGACGTAAAAACAAGCAACATTCTCCTAGACATCCATATGAGGGCCAAAGTGTCTGATTTGGACTTTCAAGGCAAGCTGAAGAGGATTTAACTCATATATCAAGTGTGGCACGAGGAACAGTAGGCTACCTGGATCCAGAGTAAGCCATGCTTACCTTGAGTTTGCATACATGCTCGAGTATTTTCTCCTGCTCAATTTTAACCGAGTATTTTCCCCCAACAGGTACTATGCAAATCAGCAATTGACTGAAAAGAGTGACGTCTACAGTTTCGGGGTTGTTCTCCTGGAACTGATCTCTGGAAGAAAGCCTGTTTCACCAGAAGAGTATGGCTCTGACTGGAGCATTGTTCATTGGGTAAGTATGTTTGCAATTCATTCTTCATGTTTTGCAAGACGTGATTCTGTCTAAAGTAAACAACTCTGCTTAACCAAGATTGAAAGCCAAAGGGATTTGGTGATAGAGGAGAATGCGAAGTTACATTTTGTAGTATAGCACAAATTCCCAAATCCAAGATGCATGGCATGGCAAAAGAGAATAGCAAAGATTTTTGTATAACAGTATAAAATGATTAATCCTTCAAGATGATATATCCATGGTTCCCAGTCGAAGAGGTGGCCTGTACCAAAAAAATTAAAAAAACTATGCAAATGTAGCAGATGCAATGTATCAATAATGAATAATTATGAAGGAGAACACAAATATAGTCAGAAATCTGTAATCGCCAGGCATTTAAACTGCATATAATAAATTAAACAAACAAATAAACTGACACCAGAAATGTTTTCTAAGTTCCATGAAGCCTAAAGACCAAGTTATATTAATGGACAGCCAAAACCCGAAATGCTCTAGACTTATTACTGAAAAAACTATACAATCATGCTAGAAAACTGGTAAAGGCAATGAGAAATTATATATTCTTTGGCCCAATTGAAGATGCTGACCAGTACTACTTTAAGTAGTGGATACATGTCAGAAATCAATTTAGATAACTAGCACACATTTTTCAATATTAAAAAAGTAGAAATATGGAACAAGCAAATGGATCTCAGTTGTTCTCAGCTAGTGCTATCTAGCCTTCCAAAAAGAAATTAATGGCATCATCATACTCTTTTTAGCAAAGCAAGCATCATTATTATAGAAAATGCAACAACCTTGACCGGATAGATTCCTTAGTTTTTATTTGACCAGATGGATTCCTTAGTTTTATTTAGCAAAGTAAGCATCATTATTATAGAAAATGCAACAACCTTGACCGGATGGATTCCTTAGTTTTTATTTGGCCGAATCAGAGTTCTTTCAATCATTTAATATTTCTCAACCAACTCTATATTTGTTTTGGAAGGGAGGATAAGCTACATAATCAAACTTCAACCGTGATACAATTGATAAAATGCCCACGGTTGCTGACTTTATTGTTTTCATCTCTTGATCATAATGACCATGAGTTTCCTTTTGGCATTAAGCCATATAAGGAAATGAAGGCTGATGTATTAAGACATCAAATTGCCTATCACTCAAATTTCTTCTCACAGGCAAGGTCCTTGGTTCGCAAAGGAGATGTTATAAGCGTCACAGATCCTTCACTAGTGGGAAGTGTCAAAATTGAGTCCATATGGAGGGTAACCGAAGTTGCAATTCAATGTGTAGAACAACATGGAGCTTCCAGGCCAAAGATGCAGGAAATCATATTGGCTATACAGGATGCAATCAAGATTGAAAAAGGAACCGACATATCAGCTTCATCAGGATGTTCCAAAACACAATCTTCACGCAAAACCTTACTCACAAGCTTTCTTGACATTGAAAGCCCAGACCTTTCCAATGGGTGCCTAATCCCAACAGCAAGATAATCACATTCCAGCCCCACCCCCACACCCCTTTTTACTCTGTAACTGTATAGTTGTAGCATATATTATTTTATCTCTTTGTATAACCAAGTTCCCCCCCCCCCCCCCCCCCCCAAACATATTGAGCATTATGCCAATAGCAGAGTAGCACAAACAAATTTAAGTCTCAATCTCCAATGGATCTAACTATTCTTGTTTTGTACATTCACATATGCAAGCATAAAGTGTATATATGCCTTTATTGTGTATTATCTGTGTGTGTGTCTTTAAAACTCTGTAAACCCAGCTTACCAGTGCAGAGAATCAACCATGAAAATGGGTATGCTGAGCCAAGTGAAGTGACCCAGTTTACAGTGGAGTAGAACCATAAATAATAGGTGAAGCATTCGAGTTGATTTGCTTAACATCAGCTATAGATAGTCGAAATTTTCAAAGTTAATTCTTATTTTTTGGGTCATGTTTAAACATATACATACGTATATATGCATGTAATTTATGAGAAGTTTGTAAAAAGGGTCTTTGGAAGATTAAAGGACAATGTGATTACCTGAACCGGCGATGGAATAGCAAGAATTCGCCGTCGCCAGAAGGCTACGAGACCCACAGGCGGTATGCATATCGACTATGGGAGGATTATTCCCACGACCACATATTTCCATTATCAACCTCCCATTTAATTTCTCAATATCACACCACTAACTCTACTCATTTTATACTTAATTCATTGGTAACTAAATCTACCCTATATTATATATATTTCATTAATAATTTTTTTGATCTAATACCCCATTAATAATTAAATTCACTCATTTTATGTGCATTCCTTTTTTTGAAATTATCGTAAAATAATAAAAAAAAAATAATTAATTTGAATATATAAATACAAGTAATTTCTCATTCCCGAAGGCACCGGTGTACACCAAAAAAAATCTATGACCAATAGTGTAATATAAATATAATACATCAATTATTTATTTTTTCTTCGTTTTCTAGAATTACACAATTCCTAATAAATTAAGTTATTTTCTTTCCTTCTCTCTAATTTTTAATCTTAGTCCAATCAAATCAAATTTAACTCAACAATAATCCAACCAATTAGAAACGTATTTCTTTTCATATCTACATACCCATAATTAATTTTTCAGTAAAAAAATTCAACTTTCATATTTATTTTTGGTGACAATAATGGTAGTGTTTATCATAAAGAATTCAACCCAAACAATATAAACATTGATCACAACCAAAACCACAAATGAGAAAATGATATTGAAACGCCCCAAAAAACCCCCTTGGGTGACATTACATTCTAAAAAACCATTCACCCCATGAGAGCATTACGTAAATCATCACGACGAAAGTTCATTCATCAACCATTCATATTTTAACAAAATTTGGGCAGAGTCTCCTTTGTACGGGGAGCTTTACCCAAAACACAACCTGTACAATTATATTACAATTGACCACACCGGGTCCACATATGCATAACTATTGACCACACCGGGTCTATTTATCCATCATAAAATAAACTTTCATTCATCATATGTCATATCCACACTATCATCCCAAAAGAATAGGTCTAATCTTGGCCTTTACATCTCCACAATGTAATAATATAACGCAGCGAAAATAACAAAAAAAAAAAGAACTAGACTTCAAAAGGATATTCTAAGTATAATCTAGTCTAGAACAAAATAAAAGTGTCGCTCTAAGCGTCCACCTCGGGATCCACATTCCCTTCAAGCGGAGTCTCCCAATGGGCGGGCTCCTCGGCTCCTAACTCCTCCTCAAGTATGAAATCTGAAAATGTTATTTGTAGGGGGTGAGCACGAAGCTCTGTAGCAAAATCCTCTCAACTCATACAAGGTTTACAAAAATATATAAAAGGGTCGGTCTCATTTTTCAACATAGCATAGATACATAATTTGAAATGAAACGGGTGCATTTTTCAACGAATCTCAAGTTTAAGTAACAATAGTAATAGAAAGGAGCAATTTCAACCAAGTGCTAATAAACATCCATTGCCAAAATATAATCATTTCCCACACATGATATCATATTGTCCTCTCTAATGGGAGCATCCTTACAAGGAACCTCTTGAGAAAATCACATACTGTCCTCTTTTGGTGTGAGCATCCTTACAAGGAACCTCTCACCCTCAAGATTTGGTTTCTCAAGCATCCTTACAAGGAACCTCTTGAGATGGAATGAACATCCTTACAAGGAACCTCTCATCCATGTTCATTCCAACAACCATACAAGATCACATCATCCCAACAATCGTCACACATAACCAAGGATTCCATAAATCTCCAATTTACAAGCAAATTTCCAAAGATCCACAAATCCATTATGAGGCAATTTCAATAAATAATTAGGAAAATACAAGAGATCACCACAACATCATTTATTACTCAACACAAACCACTAAAGTTTTCAAAGCCAAGATTGAGTGACTATAGAGAGAAAAATCCATATTTCTCAAAAGTTAGGGTTGAGAGCAAAAACAAGAGAAAGTAGTTACCCAACCATAACATTGTTTAGAACATGATAATATTTGCATAGACATCAAGAATCAAAGGTTTCCTAACATACATCTAAGATTTAGATCAAAAAAAAAAAAAAACCTATATGTATACATAGCCCCAGTCTCAATGTAAGAGAAAGAGAAGAAATCTCCTACCTTGAATCAAAGTTTCAAACCAAAAACCCAAGCTCTAATGACCTCCTTTCTCCCTTTTCTCCTTTCCTCTATCTTCCCCAAGGGTGCTAAGGGGTTTGGGGGTGAGAGATGTGAGAAAAAATGGAAGAAATTGGCTGGATTCTGTGTTTTAAACACAACAGTCCGCGACAAATCACTGTTCATGGCTGAATTTTGAGTTTTTTCCAAAATTACAGTTTTGCCACTAGAAATCTTCAATTTGATCCATACGACTACCCTAAGGTTTTTCGACGTTCCGGATTCATTTTTAATGTTATTTTAACCTAAAAACATTACTTTTTATGATTTATTTCAAAACTAAAATAAATTCACACTTGGAACATTAAAATTTCTATTTTATTCCTTCGAACTACTATAGGTGATATCCTTACGATTTTAATATATATGTGGTTTATTCTTAAGTCATTACATATAGAAGAATCACTAAACAAGTACATTAATATATTAATGTAAATATATGGGGTTTTACACCTTCAAGGTCTAATAAGAAAGCACAACCCTTTACTATCCAAGGAGCACCATAGTGCAGATTTTTGGTCAACTTCATAGAATAAACTGATTTGACTCAGGTATTTCTAGGAGGTGTAACCTATATGGTTGGAAAGATATACGAGTTAGGGTTCTAACAAAAATAACGGTGCACAATTCGGACTTTCCAATAAAGATTTATGATGAAATTAGCGAAAGGTAGTCTGCCGGACAGATTTTTGAACAGTGTAGACACTACTTCGTAATATGGACATAACTCCTTCCTCCTAGTTCCGATTGAGATGATTCAAGGTGATATGGAATCCTAAGAGAGAGCTCTACAAATTTCATGTTTTAAGTTTTGAGAGATATGGACTGCATCAAGGTCGAAATCGAGCTTGATGTTACAGCCAGTGCACTGTTCATCCCTTTTTCATTCTACCAAATTCAAACACACATCACTACACATATCCCCATTTTTACAACAATTATTTACTATATATCTATATACATATATAAAAGAAAATGCGGGGTGTTACAATTGAACATTCCACTACTAAATAATTCAACTCACAAATTCATAGCACATCATTCCTATATTTGCTTGAATATTTTATCTTTGTATATTAGCCTATTAAGAACTTACATAATCTTATGCAAATATGAGATATCTTCTAAAAAATATTACATTAGACAAAACATCAACCAATACGATCACAATAACAACAATAAACCTATATCGTCTTCAACGTAAGTATAAAGTTGAACAAAACCTCCATGCAAAACCAAGAAGCCATGATGTGACGCCTCCAACTATTAAGTCTTTGAGCTGAAATTGTAAACATGAAATTGAACAATCATCTTCAACCAAAAAACTAAGAAATAAAAGAGGATAACAATAAATTATGATTATTCGATCTGGGAGAAGGAGAGACAATAAAAGGTAAAACAATTATGAATAGCTCTCAACAATTTGACCTCTATCAGTCGAAAATTTAGGTGCCCATGACAAATTCTAATGATTAAGAATAATAAACATCAAACAAGGAAAATCATGGCTACACAAAAGTCACAAAATTGCACAATGAATTTTTTTCCCTTTTAACAACTTGCATCAACCATACGCTTTTATTTCCCAAATGAATTCCAAAATTCCATCATAGCGCTCTACAATTATATCACTCTCTAATCATTTAACTAAAGGCCAAAACCACTCAAGTAAATTGATGGACCTAAACATCCAACAATGGATTTGTAGGTATGTGGCATACATTCTCCAAGGACACAATTAATGACATATTTCAACAATTCACGCCTAATATTAAACTACAATTATATTATTTAATAGCTTTAATAAAAAATCCACAACAAATTCATCATTTCATAGATAACCATTAAAAATTTAACTTACACCAATCAAATAATTTGGCACATTGCTGACAATTTACCTTTCTTTGAGATGCTGCATCCATAGTATATACATGACACAAAAGATCAAAGTTTTTGTCTCACAGTTTGATAACAGTCTTTATATTGAAAAATTTCATTCCTCAAGAGTTTAATATGAATTCTTGTTGAAGTAATGAGGTTGAAGAAAGGGGAAAAAAGTCAACTGAATTGGGCAAAATTCCATAAAGGTCAAAAAAGTAAGAACAATTGAACATATATTTAACTCTTTAATATTTGATACATTCAATTCAGAATGTCTTTGAGAGCTCCTCTCACTAGGAAAAACATTGAGAATCCAAAACAACTACAGCAGCCTCTCAATTTTGATTTAAATTTCAAAGTTGTTTAATATCTATAGAATCCAATCACCAATCTAATTCAAAAATTAGAAACCAAAATTGAAAGAACATGAAAATAAAAATCTAAACAAAAACAGAGAAGGACCGAAATGAGTGTGTGCATATAG